AAATCAATGGAAGTGTAACTGATGTGATTCAGCAATCTGTATACGGGGTAAAAATGGGAGTTCATAACCCTCTTGAATCAAACTGTGAAATATGATATATCAAGAAATATGTAATGTTTTGAACGACCAACAATAAAAAAAGAAAAAAAAGAATTTGATTAATTTTATATATCAAGGGCTGGATATATAGCTCAATAATAGAGTGCTCACTATTAAAAGTACTATCTGCCTAGCATGTGTGAGGCCTTGAATTCAATTCCCAGCAACAAAAACCCAACATTTTTTACATATCCTACTACTCAGGCATAGAAAAGTAACCTTAAGTCTAATCTCACCTGTAAAAATATTAACCCATCTGCTTAAAAGATACTTTTTAAGAGTTCCTTTATAATTTTAAGATTTTATAGCCTTCCCCATGACAAAACTAGACAAAGAAGTTATTTGCCATGTTCTGATCATGGCTACTCCTATGCCTGGAGGTTATGTATATGTATGTTATAATAAGTGTCATAATGGCACAAGTGACCACACATGAAGATCTACTGTTACCACTCTACCATTAATTATCTCTTCATCACTCAGAAACATTAATTAGTGCCTACTATGAATATAGACTTGTATTAGCTCCCAAAATACAGTTTCTCCATTTGAGTATTTTAAAATCTAATAAATTATAAACAGTGGGCACAGTGGGCACAGTGATATGCACCTATAATTCCAGTGACTCAGACTGGGAAGTGGGGCTGAGGCAGGAAGATAGCAAGATTGACGCCATAGTGAGACTTCTAATTTAGCAAGACTCAATATCAACTTAAAAACTAAAAAGGACTGGGCTGGGGCTATAGCTCAGTGGCAGAGAACTTGCTTGCCACGCGTGAGGCACTGGGTTCAATCCTCAGTACCATATAAAAATAAACAAATAAAATAAAAGCATTGTGTCCATCTACAACTACAAAAAAATTAAATAATATAAAAAGGACTAAAGATAGAGAACACCCCCGGGGTTCAATCTCCAGTACAATAAATAAATAAATAAATAACATATTATTTTAAAGAATTAACATTGAACAAAAGACCTTTGTGAACATTATATTTTAAAATTGGTAAATTACCATTTTTCCTGACACACAATCAAGATTTGGGGCATAAGACAATGGTGTTCAAATGACTGACCTTGATATATAATCAAATTTGAGCTATTATTCAAGTTGGTCTCTGTCAACACAACCTCCTGCCTAAAGTATGTCTACAAACTTATTTTGTAGCTCTAGGCAGGAGTTTGTTTTCTTAGCCAACACTATCCTTTCGGTCAACATAAAACTTCAAAGAACTCTAAAGTATCTCTCACTAGGGAAAAAAATTAGGCATTGTCTCATGGAAGGACAGAAAATGAAACATGCAGGTTAAATGAAAAGCAAAATATCCTCAGAGACTAGGGATGGAGGACTTAGATAGAATAGAATTATTCTATGGCATTATACCCTTCATTAGCATGTGTTGCAAACAGGAACATATTTATCAGAACAAAGGAATGCCTCTTTTCCATATAATCAAAGTAAGTACACGAAAGCCTTTAAGAAAGGGATCTATGATAAGACTGGTGTTAAAGGAACAATCACCCAGAAAAAGATCTTTAATAATTGCTACCTAAGAAATAACACTGTGAAGAAAGGAAGAAAGTACTTTCTTATGACTCTCCCCTTCTCCACATACACACATAAACACATGGGGGTTTTATTCATAGCTAGCTACAAAAATTATTTTCCTCATATATCTGAGAAACAGACATGTCATAAACATGATGTAGCAGGAATATCCTAGCTTAGAAATTAGAAAAACTTAACTTTAAAAAGGAGTTCTTGGGCTGGGGTTGTGGCTCAGTGGTAGAGCACTTGCCTAGCAAATTGAACTGGATTCAATTCTCAGCACCACATTAATAAATATTTTTTTAAGGAGTTCTTAGCACACTAAAAGTATTACTTTAAAAATTTTGTGATCAGTAATAAATTAATAAGCCTCACGTCACAGATACAATAAAGGTAATATCTGATCTGGCCAATACTACAGTGGAGGAGTATCATACATGCATTTAACCTATGGGGATTCAACTTACATGTTCATAGGGGAAAAGGAATAGGAAAGAGAGAAAGATATTAAAGGACAATTAAAAGGATTGAATACATACTGCCTTCGTAAATCTGCTAATTTAGAAGTCAGAGCAGATATTTCTCCAAGGGAACGAAGAATGTCATCTCTCTCTTTAGGATCATCACACAATTCTGCTATTTTCCGAGCTTCAGCCAAAGCCCCTCGGATCTGTTCTTCTCCTTCAGGTCCACCATTTGGATCTGCAAGCCAATTCTACAGACAGAAAGAGAGAATACTGCAGTCTACTCATGAACCACATTTAATTAACCTTAACAAAACCATCAGAAAAATAAAATCTAAATCCCACAGCACACCAGTAATTGTTTTCTAGAGTGATAATTATTATTGTTTTATAGAGGTGTTTGGCTTCATTGTAAGATTGAATCAATCTCTCATCTTTTTTTTTTTTTTTCCTTTGGGAGCTGGAACTCAAACCCAAGGCCTTTTGCATGCTAAGTATGTGCTTTACCTCTGAGCTATATCCCCAACTCCTCCTTCATCTTTTTAAAAACAACTTTGTTCCTATCTATTAGCATAAAATATCTTCATAAACCTTTATCTCATCCTTAATCAGAAACATTTAAGTTTATCAAACATTTGTTTGTGACATACTTGAAAATGATTTTATATAAGAGTAGATCTAGCATGTGTAAAGTACTGGGTTCAATTCTCAGCACAACATATAAATAAACAAACAAACAAACAAATAAATAAATAAATAAAAATAAAGGTGCATTGATAACTTAAAAATGAGTAGAATCAGAAAACTTTGACTCTTTACACTTCTATGATGAAATACAGTTGAGAATTCTGAGAAAAGGAACAGTTTCAATGTACTATAATCTATAACAGGAATTAGGATTCTCTTGGAAGTCAGAGTGCTCACTTTTAACTAGTAAAAATATTCAAAATGAAGATCTTCATTTCAAACTATAGATAAATAGTAGTGTAAACTGTGATGGTAGGGGATGTGTTAACACTGGTAACTGCTGGGAACAAGTCAGTCAGTCATCACTTAGGAACACCCATTATCTACTCACACTAAATGATGAGAGGCGTAGAGAGAAAGAAAAGGAAGAAGGGGAAAGGAAGAGCTTGGGGATATTTGTGGAATGCTTCTCTTTCTCTTTTACTTCCCACCCCTCCTGAAAATCATTACATTTACCTGAGCAGCATCAATCTTCTTTGCTATGCTCTGCTTTGAGTTTGTCATGGCTTCCAACTTTCGAGCTGCATTCTCCACCTTTGCTGTGAGCACATCTAGACCTTGAGATACCTGCTGGGCTTTCTGCATGGCCACTGGTGAAGCTCCTTGACCTCTATTCAGACAAAGATACTGTCATTGCACCTTCTCAAATACTTAATAACAAAATATTCCTTAACACCACAGTACATGCCATTTTTGTTAGCATGCTTGTCTTTTTTCATTTTCCCCAGTAATGTAGGATAACACAAAGAAAACAGAGCTAAACAAAGATACCCAAACCATCTTTCTCTTTTGCTTTTAAAAATACACATGAGCTTTATGGAACTGCATAACCACTTTGAAGTCAGGCCAGCAAATTTTGATAATCATTATTCGCCTCTAGGTAGTGATTATATAACCAAATCTAAACTTCAGTGGGAAAATGTACTGGGGATCTCATTGCTATGGAGGACTTTGTTACCATAGTAATGTGTGCTTTAGAAATAAGTAGCCATTGAATTGTCTTATTTATGGGCAAGAATACACTGAGAAGGCAATACATACAGAGTAATTGAAAACGCATCACAATGACAAATTTAATCTGTTTGAATCCTAATTTTTGGTGCCTCAGGGACTTTATGATGTTTAACCTCCTTTGGCTTCAGGTTTTTTTCTTATAAAATAAAACTAATGTAAAATGAAAGAAAGCAATAATACAGTACTTGCCCTGCTTACTCAACAGAGTATCAAGCATCAAGATAATATACTTGAAAACACTTTGACAACAAAGCAATATAAATATCACAATATACTATTATGACTGAATTATCATTTGTGTAACAAACCTAATGACCTAATGATGATCTTAATTACCTTAATCCATTTGTAGACAAAACTAGTTAGAACTGAGCAGGGAAGTACATAGTGACAAGAAGTATATCATTTTTCTATAAAGTTCCTAAAGAACCATTTTCACTATTTTCCTCTCTCAGAAATGGAATGGTATTACTACAGAAAATAATGTGTTTGCAGAAACTTGTTCTCCTTTGTACATGTCTTTCTTTCTTTCTTCTTTCTTTCTTTTTTTTTTTTTTTTTTGGTTCAATCCCTAACGCATGCCTGTCAGCACTCTAACACTGTGAGCCACATCCCCAGCCCAAACTTTTTTTTTTTTTTTAAGAAAAACTTTTGTTCTGGACAATTTTCTTGATTCTTCTATCCCTATTAAATTATTGATTTCAGCTATTTATATATTTGGGAACTGCTTGTACTTAATAGTCACCTGCACTTAATAGCTATCATCTTTAATCTTAGAATACTCATTAGGTTTTTATTTATTCATTCATTCATTCATTCATTCATTCGTTTGTTAGTACATACTGGGGATTGAA